AAAAAAAACAGAAAAACTAATTTGTCGAGTATATTAGCTCGGACACGACAAAGTAAACATCAGTGCCAGAGGTGGGGGGGTCAGAGATTTAGTCATTACTCCTTTATTTTTATATATTTAGCAGAAATATTATGTCAAAGGATTGCCAAAGCCGACTAGATTACAGGATTTTTTCAATTTTTCGAGTATTTTCACAAATATTCGTCGAAAATTAATTCGCTGGCCCCCTTAAAGGAGTTGCAAAACCTGTAGACCGATTCATCATGATATCACGAGGTAAGGTTGTTATAATGACGAAACACACTTGGTGAAAACAAACCCATCTCACAGAAACCTCTCAGAGTAATTTAAAGTTATATTACTACTGTGTGCAAAAATGTTGTATGAATATTTTGATACATTAAAAAGCAGAGAGAAAACGTGTAATGAAGTGAAGCTAGTGTAGCTAGAAGTGTTCTTATCATCTACCTGCTGAAATTTGGATCGACAAACCTTCTAAGTGGCCTAACATTGAATTCCTTTGGTTGTTCGAAGGGTAGAGGTTACAGACACGGATGCACGTAGATAGAGGGAAATGGACACCGCCATCTTATAGAGCGGGAAAAATAGAAGGGGATAGCGTATAGTTTAAGATGCGGCCTTATAGTCACCGCTAAATGAAAAATATAACGCGCGGCCGCCTTTCAAATTCAAAGTCGATGAGCTTGTTTACCTTGCTAGGAAAAACACGACACTGACCCACGAACGCATTTTTGCGTTCGCGAACTAGTCCGTGTATCATTACGCGCTTGTCAAAACGATATTTGGCTAATTATCTGTGTCTGCTGGTACGCATTTATACCTTTAAAGTCTTTTAGTAATGTTATTATACTTCATTTGCATATTTTTATATTTATCTATACCCTCATATCGAATCCTGCGCATCGAGTGTTTCACACTTTCTTGACAGCTTACCATACCGCTCATTTCGAGATTGAAAGCCGGTGAGAAATGTTGCGTTTCCAGTGTTGTGTTGATTCTGGGTTCTTTTTAAGACCTTTACAGTGGCATCGAAGAATAATTCGACTTCAGTAACCATCCCAGTTTTATATCTGAGCCCATCAAGAGCTCCAAAGGACGAAAAAGGTGATTAAAATCGAAGCAATCCCAACAGTACAAAGAAACGAAAGTTTCACGTTTCCGGATATAAAGGTATTTGGTTTATTATTTTACGGTGTGAATGCAGCTCTGTCTTGCCGTACATACCGTGGTGGAGAGAATGTGTCCTGGGGGGTGTTGGGGGCTTGCCCCCCATCAACCCTCCCCTCGGGCAGTGCCCGAAGGGCACGCCTAGTCACGGCAATTTATATTGATATATTAGGTTGGTTTATTGGTCAATACGTTTTTGGGGGTTGGAACGTGTGAATTCCCGTAGATTTTTTGCCGAAATGTGGGTTGGGTTCCCGTAGAGTTTTTTATTTCGCGTCAGTCCGTAAACTTTCAAAGATGGCGGTTACATCCGTAGAGTTTCATTGGCCGATTTTAAGCGCTTTTTGTGCTAGTTTTACGCATTTTTGATCGTTATTCTTCTTATTTAAGCTTGTTTTACCCCATAATTTCCCTGATATACTTCATGCCCTCCCCTGCTAACGGGACTATCAAATCAAGATCGTCGATGGAGAAATGGTACTCGATCTCCTGAACGATTCATTCGCAAAAGAAACAACGCCGAAAATCGATGAAATCATAGGATTTCATGCAGAAAAACATCAATTTTTTTCAACTTAAGTCTCTGGGAGGGTGCGTCGCTCTCTAACAATTACTGTTCGAACCACAATATGATGAAAACAAAAAGCTTAACCTTTCATATATTCCCAGATTACGAGAAGAAACTTGAAAAATGGAAGCGATGGGTTCAGGCCACGAAAACGCATAAACATGGAGCACTTGGGCACTCTGTGGAAAATATTACATTTGCTCAGGACATTTTATTGAAGTTGAGAGTTTAATATATCAATATATCCCTTTTCCTATTTCTAATGTAAACATTTTGACCAGGCGCCAAAGTACTTCTATTTGTGTGTACGCATTTCAGGGCCTGGACCAATTGCTTCGAGTTTCTTCTCGCGATCTGGGAATTAATGAAAGTTCTTTCTTTCCCATCATATTGTGGTTCAAACAACCAATGGCTACACAACTCCTCAGCATTATCATGCAAAAAAATTTAAACTCTTGGATACACAGAGCAAATCTGTAAGTACACACACCCCAGATTGGAAAGTTTGCTGGTTGGTATCTCAGCCACAGTTCTGGCCGCATCATTTGGACAAATTCTTTTCTCCCAGCCGCCCCATTAAGTAATTGGGGGCTTAAACGCGCAACCGCAAACTGGGAATTCCTTGAGTTCAAGGCAATGGCTGGCTGATGGACCAAGAAAACCAGCAACTCTTACTCAGCTGTGCATTTTTGTATTAATCTGTACGTGTAGCTGTGCAGTTTCTGCTTCTAAACAACAACTCCACCGCGCACTTTGCAAAGCTTCCAATCTGGCACACAGCGAGTTTTTGAACGAACAAGGGTTTGTTTTCACCAAATGCTCGTTGCTAGGTGCAGTTGGTATGCTTTACCAAATCAGCCTAGATAGCATATAAAATAAAGATAACGGTATGATGAAATAGTGAATGTTTACTTTCAGCCTAGTTGCATTTTGGGCAAAGAAAGTATTGAAAGTATTGGAGCTTCTGAACGTGGCCTTGTTGTCCTGCTGGTCCTGACATGTCTAGACGAGCAAGACAAGGAGTGCTGGGCGCATTAGCTAGAAATGGACTATTTTGTCTGTTCTGTTTTGGAAGCATTTGCACACATATTGCCATAAAACTGTCTTGATTGGTATTGTTCTATCATTTCGTATGAATTTTGTTACCAAATTCTGTCACTACCTCGAACTACATATTGCTTAATTACCCCTTCAAATAGCATTACCATGAAAAGACTCAGATTTTTATAAAAGGCCAAGTTGGCATTCTAAAAATAGAAGCAAGAGGAGACTTGCTTGAAGAAAAAATAAACACAGGCCTATATATTATTTCTCCTGAGCGTTACATTCTTATGTAGTCCTATGGCTCAGAAATTTAGTAAAAATACCAGAAAAAATATATAATCGATGTTTCGCTTTATTTTTTTTAGACACAAAAGGCTCCAAATATGACTTTCCCAGGAAACTCTCCCTCAAAGATCTTCCAGCTGTTTCCCTTTCCCCTCATCCAGACGGTGAAGAAAAGGCGGCTTCAGAGAGGAGAGCTTCCAGGGCGAAAACCCAAGGCCGAAATTCCCATAAGGACAGAATGCCCTTCGTCCCTTCAAACGCTTTAATAGGACTCCGCCTCTAGTTCCTCACCTTTCTCGGGCTTCTTCTCCTCCCTGTCCTCTCCCATCGCTCCGGCGTCCTCCTGCGCCTCAGAAATTCACTCTCCCCGCCGCCAAATCCGAGGGAAAACGGGCGAAAATCGGCAAAAATCAGGCAGAAAATCGTAGTCACATCCACACCGGTACTTCGTCGATATCCAACATGGCCGCCGATGAAGCATGTTGGACGCTCAGCTCCCAACGCCGCTGATTGGTCAGTCGGAAACCTCGGGAGACGCTGATTGGCTGGTCGGTAGCTTAAGCTGTCGCTAATTGGTCGCCTGGTATAGGTACACGGGCGTTGATTGGTCTAAAGAATTGGCTATGCGAAATCTCATTGGCTTGTTGGTGGTTTTCAACGGCGTTTATTGGTCAGTTGTGCTAAACGGAAGAGCGGGCTGTTTGAAAATTTATTTTAATCAATAATTTAATTATCTTATGATTAGAACTTTTCTTGTTTTGTGTAGGCTTTATCATCATCCTTTTGATAATTTCCGTCCGCGAGCTATTTTCACGAAGGCAAAAGTTATGGAATGTGTGCCCTCCCTCAGAAATTACAAGTAATTGTAATTGGAATAACAGATTGTTACTGCGTCTTTGTGGCCATAAACAGACCAGTCTGGTTTGGCCTGAACACAGTTGGTATTTATAAGCTAAAGATATTCTGTGCGGGTATTGCGGGGCAAAGAGGGGAGGGAGGGAAAGAAGAAAAGAAAGAAAATTGGAGAGAGAGAGAGAGAGAGAGAGAGGAGAGAGAGAGAGAGAGAGAAGAGAGAGAGAGAGAGAGAGAGAGAGAGAGAGAGAGAGAGAGAGAGTGAGAGAGAGAGAGAGAGAGAGAGAGAGAGAGAGAGAGAGAGAGAGAGAGAGAGAGAGAGAGGAGAGAGAGAGAGAGAGAGAGAGAGAGAGAGAGAGAGGGGGGGGGGGGGGGAATATACAAAGAAAACAAGTTGAAGTAAGAAAGACATGCACACAAACATACCAACAGGAAGATAATTTTGAATACAGGCTGGCAAAGACAGACGGAAAAAACAGGAGAAAGAAAAGCGGAACAAGAGAGGAGGAGAGGAACGAACAAGCAAACAGAAAGAAATGGGGAAGGTTACGTGGAATGAAATAAAAGACATTTTGTATGCGACAGACTTGTGCTTCTCGACATCTTTTTTAAACCACAGCCCACTGCAGGCATACTCAATGCCCACTGGCCTTCAAATTTAGAAATCCTCTCTCTTCTCTCTCTCCTCTCTCTCCTCTCTCTCTCTCTCTCTCTCTCTTCTCTCTCTCTCTCTCTCTCTCTGTCTCTCTCTCTCTTCTCTATCTATCTATCTATCTAAACTTCTCTCTCATCTTTTTCTGGCCCCTCTCCTCTTCTTGTTGACGAAATAAATTTAACAAAACCATTCGATTATCTCTCTCTCTCTCTCTCTCTCTCTCTCTCTTCTCTCTCTCTCTCTCATCTCTCTCTTCTTCTCTCTCTCTCATCTCTCTCCATTTCTTCCCCCTTACCCTTCATCTGTCTCTCTCCGTCCCCCCTTTTCCTCTCCTTCTTCCACCTCCTCCCTTCCTCTCTCTTTCTCTCTCTCTCTCTCTCTCTCTCTCTCTCTTCTCCTCTTCTCTCT